AATGATATATTTGTTAAGTGTAAAGGTAAAGGTAAAGGTAGTCCCCTGACATTAAGTCCAGTCATGTCTAACTCTGGGGTGTGGTGCTCATCTCCATTTCTAAGCCGAAGAGCCAGCGTTGTCCGTAGACACCTCCAAGGTCATGTGGCCGGCATGACTGCATGGAGCGCCATTACCTGCCTGCTGGAGCGGTACCTATTGATCTGCTCACATTTGCATGTTTTCGAACTGCTAGGTTGGCAGAAGCTAGGGCTGACAGCGGAAGCTCACACCGCTCCCCGGAATCGAACCTGCAACCTTTCGATCAACAAGCTCAGCAGCTCAGTGCTTTAACCCACTGCGCCACCGGGGGCTCCCTTGTTAAGTGTATATTGATGTAAATCATAAGAGTTGCTTATGGTAAGGAACTTCATAGAAAGAACTCTTCCTATCATAACCTTTCTCTGAGTAGCTCATTTAAACTAATCAGACACATTGCTGAAGATGATTTCCTGAATGCTTAAAACTGGGATTACGAGGGATTGGGCTATAAACTGATTATGCCATCATGAATAAAGATCTATTGTTAAACCTTTGATTATTTCATTCTTATCTTCTGATAAATTTTGTAATATGATGGCTATACATTTCCTTGGTGCTCTTCAAACAGAAAAAAGAAAGAAAATAGAAAAAAGTTGAAATTTGAATTCGATACAGAACATAAGATATGTATAATCAAATCCTTTGGTGAGAAAATCATGATTCCTCCTTTCTTTAATAGTCTTCCTTCAAAAAATAGATTCTGCCTCAATCTAAGCAGTAGTTCTAATTAGAGTATATGGAATTTACCTAAATTGATTGTCCACTCAGCGTTTATTCCAAAAAGTCTACCATGGTTGGTAGCAGAATCTACATTACATAAAAACTGTCACAAACTTTTCAGTACGAAGAAGACTTTTGAAATTCTTCTTTCTTGCTTGTGTGATCAAAATAAGTGAAAATTTACAGTCTTTGTCTAAATGTCTAAATGTTCGTCTTTATTTATTTATTTATTTATTTATTTATTTATTTATTTATTTACCTTACTTATATACCGCTGTTCTCAGCCCGAAGGCGACTCACAGCGGTTCACAGCAATAAGAGACAGCAGAATTCAATGTTGCAGTATAAAAACAGTTAACAACTTAACACATTACCCAATTAATAAACAATAAACAATTAACAATTTCTACAATAGCCATTCACTATCATCTCATCATCAAAAACATGATCCAGATTCGTCATCCAATGATCAATTCCAGTGTTCATTAACCAATCATTGCACTCATTATTCGAACGCCTGCTCAAACATCCAGGTATTCACTTTTTTGCGGAATACCATTAGAGATGGTGCTAGTCTAATGTCGGTAGGAAGGGTGTTCCACAGCCGAGGAGCCACCACCGAGAAGGCCCTATCTCTCATCCCCGCCAGACGCGCTTGAGAAGCAGGCGGGATCGAGAGCAGGGCCTCCCCGGAAGATCTCAAAGCCCTGGTGGGTTCATAGGCAGAGATGCGGTCGGATAGGTAGCTTGGGCCGGAACCGTTTAGGGCTTTAAAGGCCAATGCCAGCACTTTGAATTGAGCCTGGTAGCAAATTGGTAGCCAATGGAGTTGGCACAACAGGGGGGTTGTATGCTCCCTGCACTCCGCTCCTGTTAACATCATGGCTGCCGAGCGCTGGACTAATTGGAGCTTCCAAGCCGTCTTCAAAGGCAACCCCACGTAGAGAGCGTTGCAGTAGTCTAAACGGGATGTAACCAGAGCGTGGACTACCGTGGCCAAGTCAGACTTCCCAAGGTACGGGCGCAGCTGGCGCACAAGCTTTAGCTGTGCAAATGCTCCCCTGGTCACCACCGAAACCTGGGGTTCCAGGCTCAGCGATGAGTCCAGGGTCACACCCAAGCTGCGAACCTGCGTCTTCAGGGGGAGTGCGACCCCATCCAACACAGGCTGTAACCCTATGCCCTGTTCGGTCTTGTGACTGACCAGGAGTACATCTGTCTTGTCTGGATTCAATTTAAATTTGTTCGCCCTCATCCAGACCGTCACAGTGGCCAAGCACCAGTTCAGGACCTGGACAGCCTCCTTAGTAGCAGGTGGAAAGGAGTGACAGAGTTGGACATCATCCGCGTACAGATGACACCGAACCCCGAAACTCCGGATGATCTCCCCCAGAGGCTTCATGTAGATGTTAAACAACATGGGAGACAATATTGAGCCCTGAGGAACCCCACAAGACAAAGGTTGTGGGGTTGAACAGGTGTCTCCCAGCTGGGCTTTCCACAGAAGTTGAGGAAGCAGGAACCCATTTTGTTTCCTTCTGCTTCAGGATAAGCTTTCTTTAAATTTAACTGCTGCTTTCAGTGCTGCTTTGTTTGAGAGGCAGGGCTTCCTGTGTTTAAAAATTAACTGCTTTGTTTGAGAGGCGGGGCTTCCTGGTTATCCTATATAAACCAGTGTCTGAACCCAAGGGGCAGCTGGGCTTTCCACAGAAGTTGAGGAAGCAGGAACTCGTACACTCAGTAACCTGTACTTTCACCCCTGCATACAGACAGCAACATCAAACACACACCAAGAGGAGGTCATTAGCAACCTCCAGATGGAACAAACATGAAAACTTCCCATCTCATGCACAAGCTGTGGCATGTTCAGCTTTTTCACACTACAATTACTCAATTACATCTGCCCCAAGTGTAAACAGATCACTCGCATGGAACACAGGATCCGACAACTCGAGGACCGTATTAAAACCCTTAAGGACATTCAGGAACTTGAGCTGTTCTTAGACACCACACACCACACTGTCGTAGACACGCAGCCCTTATCACACCAACATTACGGGGAGGCTCAAGAGAACAGCACCTCAGATGTGGACAACC